CACGCGCCCTGCGCGCCCCGCGCCTCCCTGCTTGACCCGGCGCCGGCGCCGGCGCCCGCCCCACCGCGCTCCGCCCCAGCGGCTGCCTGCAGCCGCAGCTCCCTCTCTTCATGACACCCTCCGTTCGATCTGTATGATCTGTGTGATCTGTGTGATCTCCAGGCGCCCGCGGGGAGCACGAGGCCATGCCGCCGCCGCCGGAGGGCTCCGACCTGTTCTGGCTGGACCGGCCCGTGCCCCACTCGGCGCTGCTGCCGCTGGTCGACCTTACTGTGCACCACGGCGGCATGGGCACGACGCACGCCGCCGCCGTGGCAGGTGCGCGCGCCGCGGGGCAGGGGGGGGGGGTTAGGGGCCCTCTTGTCTCTCGCTCTCGCTCGATCACGCAGGAGCTCGCAGTGTTGCGTGCGATCGACTGCATGGGCTCGCTCCCGGCAGCTGGCGTTGAATGAATAATCCTGCCCCCTTGAGGGCCCTTGGTTTCTCAGCCCCCGAAGCCCAGGCCCGGCCCTGTTTCATCGCGACCCCACCACCCGCAGGCCGCCCCGCGATCATCGTGCCTGTCAGCCTGGCGTCCGACCAGGTCTTCTGGGCTGACATAATCCGCCGCCGCGGCGCCGGCGTCGCGAGCCCGCAGCACGCAGGCGCGCTGACGGCGGCGTCGTTCGCCCAGCTGCTGCAGAAGGCGCTGGGCGCCCTGCCTGTGCTGGCGGCGGCGGCGGCGCGGCTGGCGGAGGGCGTGAGGGCGGAGCCCGACGGCGTGGGGGCGGCGGTCGGGGCGCTGCGGCGGGTGATGGCGGGGGAGGCGATCGGCAAGGGGCTGCCGGCGCCGGCGCAGGCGGCGGCGTGATGCGTGGGGCGGGCGCGCGGCGCGCTGAGGCCACTTTGCATTGCGCCAGCACGAGCTGTGGGGATGGTGAGGGGGAGGGTGTGTGTGGCTTCGCGCACGAACTTGGGAATGCGGTGGTGGGTGGTTGGGGAGGAGGGGGCGGCTGGGTGACCGCATCTGTGGTTAGGGGTTGCTACACACTGCAACCGCATCATGTGGGAATATTTGTGACTATACATGTTTTCATCAACACACCACAAAGAGTCCTTCAGAAAAGGCTGGGGTGCTTTTTTGACATCCTGTCATCTGGGTTGAGGCCGCCCCTGCCTCCACTAGAACTGTTCTTTAAGTCAGATTCCACTGATATTTGAGGCACCTTGGGCCACGTACACTTTGTATTCCCAAAAAATCTACTGGTGTGTGGAAAGAGGGGGAATGTTTTTGATATACGTGCTGTTTGGGATGGCATGTGGGACGGCCTCGCAGTGTAATCTGCCGCAATTCCCGCGGAGCTCGACATTTTGGAGGGTGTTGCGGGGTCTTGCCAGATGCAATGCGCCAATGGGTGATGACCGCTATCAGGGCAGCTGAGGGCTTGAGTTTCTTTGTCCACCACGGCGACACAATTACCTTGGTTTTTGCGGGCTGCGTTGGCTGAGGCTGTCACAGGACACACACGCGAGCAGCTGCCTGCTCTTCGGGCTGCCTGTTCTGGCACATGCACTGTGTGCCACCAGCAAGGACATCGTGGTGTAATTTATTCCGAAGATAATATCTGATAGCATCAGCAACCCAATTTCGCCCAAGTCGCGCGACCGGCCATTTCCCGTGGCATTGAAAAACCGTTTGTCAAACACGTGGGGTCGAGCGATCTTCGTATGTTGATCGCTCTTCCAGTGCTGTATACAGCAAGAAATCTCAATTTTTCAAACCACACCTATTTTGTCTTCACCACCTAGCACTGCATCCTATCCAGACCGCTGCGGCACTGCGTGGCACTGGCGCGACTCGTGCGATTCGTGCTGTGCCTGACAGTTTTTTGCAGGATTAAACACATACCCCTCTGATCCAAGATCGTGTCAGGCGCACGGTGGGTGGCCCGAACGCTCGAACACTCCGTTGGAGCGGGTTGACCCTTGCTGTGCACCCTCATTGGAGATAGTGACTGCGGTCTTAGCGATTATTCGACGATTTTACACGTAGCATGCTGCCACCGCAGCCGTGCGCGTGGCACTGCAGCCAGCGGCGGCCGGGAAGTTTGACTGTGATCGGGCGCGTGCCGGGCGCAGGCCCATGATGGCCGGAGACACACGCACAGCCAGTGAGGCAAAAGACCCCAAATAATCTTGACACAGACGCCCTTGATCACCACTTGCTATCTGCAGGTTACCATGGCCCGATCCGCACGGGCTGCCGCGGTCCTGGCGGCCTGCGCGCTGCTGATAGCGACAGCGGTCCACCCCTGCCGGGCAGCCGACACCGCCGCCGCCCCCGCCCCGTCCGCCGAGGCCGACCTGCCGCTCTCCGCTGGCAGCAAGCCCGGCCTGCCGCCCGCCTCGCTGCCGCCCGGCGCCACCCGCGTCCTCACCGTCCCCGCCGCCGGCGCCGCCGCCGAAGCTGCCGCCGCCGCCGCCGCGGAGCGGCTCGCCGCCGACGGCGCCCGCCGCCGCGGCCGCCCCCACTTTCACGGGGTGCCCGTCCCGCTGGCGGGCTCGGCGCTCCTGCTAGGAGAGCTCAGCCAGGGCGCGACCCCCTCCGTCATCACCGTTGAGGACGACCCCTCCCCTACCGACGCCCCCGCTGCCGCTGACGGCCCCGGCCCCTTCGACTCCGCAGCGCATGACCTGGATTCACACCTCGCCGAACTGGTCGCGTCCCTGCGCCCCACGCTTGACAGCGCGGCCGCCATACGCATGGCAGAGCCCGCCGCTGCCGCCGGCCCGGCGCCCGGCGGCGAGGCGCCGTCCGCGGCGCCTTTGGTTTATGAGTTCGATGATGACCACGATCCCGGTTTCCTCGACATGATGCCGAAGGGGGGCATCGCTGACCTGGACAAGCTTGCCAAGGAAGTGCGTGTGCGTGTGCGCGTGTGTTGCATGTGCGTGTTTGCGAGTGTGTGCGTGCGCATGCGTGTTTGTTTGACCGCACGGTGCGTACGCTTCAATGCATCCGCTTACCAGATGCGATTTCAGCAGGCTCATGTGCGCCAGCTGTTGGGGTGACGGGCAGAGGCGTCTTGCTGTCGCCGCACCCTCCGTCCCAGAGTTTGTCGCTCAGCGGGTTCAGCAGGGCTTGGCCGCCCCCGCTTGCCTGTCAGTGCGCATCCACCAACTTGTTCGTCCATCCAACGGCGCGATTGACATTTCATCCGCAATAATCAACATCTTTCTCTCCAACAGGCAGTGACCACAGCAAACGAGGCCCTGGGCCACGTCGCAGACGCGGTCAAACACGCCGTGGACTCGGTCAAACTCGCCGTCAGCGACGCCGAGGGCGAGGCCGCGCCGGAGGCTTCTGACAAGAAGTACTTTATGGGGTGGCTGGGCGGTGACGGCAAGTGGGTGCCCACCGATGCCAAGGGGGAGGTGGCCGCCCAGGCGGCGCCAGCCTACTACGTGACTTTCAGGTGCGACACTCGCAGCAGGCACACCCATTCCTCCCTCTCGGAGGCAGCGCGGCGGGGCGCGAGGCGTATCGAACTGCATCGGCCTGTTGGGGCCCGACGAAACCGCTACAGGGCTGCGACGCCTTGCGCTGCGGCCGCTCCTTCGGCCAGTCGCCGCTTGCTGTGACGTGCGCCAGACCGCGCCCTTCGGGGCTAACTCGCGTGTCAATGCAACCCACCTGCGCACTCATCCTGCGCACCCCCATCGCCCCCTGTCCTCAACTGTGCCCCAGCCCGTCCTTTGGCGTCGAGGTTTGGGAGGTCGACCCGGCCTTCTGGCCGTGGCCGGCCTACAATGAAAGCGAGAGCAGCGACGGTCTCCCCGACTGGTTCCCGCCCTTCGAGGCCGGCGGCAACGCCGGCTACGACTACTGATGACGTCATCATAACCGGTGACTTCGTCGCTCGGCGCCGTGCGTTTGTGGCGGCTGCAGGTGGGGCCGCCGTCCAAAGGCATCCGGCATGATTTTCAGCCTGTTTGCATGCTTTGTGGCCTTGCCCTACCCCGGGGTTCTACGCCGAGCACGGCCAAACTGGAAGATTTGCAACTGCTGCCAGCGGGTCGGTGACCAGACACGTATTGCGCGTGGATGGCTGATCGTGGCCCTGCCTTTTGCTCATGCTCACATTGCAAGCTGAAGCACGGCTTTGGATACATTGCCCGACCGACCAACGCCTGTCACTTGATGGTCCTTTGATGGGGGCGTGCGCATGCAAGCGGGCCAGCGAGGCCAGAGCCCCGCCTTCTTGCTGCTGTTGTCTCAGCGACATGTACGGTACGCCGACGTACTCAATAAAGGCCGTTCTTCCCAAGCACAACTGTGTTGTTGGGGGCGCCTGCCCCGCAGCATCACGCATGTGCAGGCGCCACCCTGGCCGACGGCGGATGCGGTTACGGCGGCGGTGCTATTGCGCACCCCGTAGCGCCACGCGCCGCCCCCGCGCCGCCAAACCTGACGCCAGGGCGCCGCCCCCCTGCTCTCTTGAGCCGCGCCTCAAGTGGAATGCCATCACCACAACCGCGGCTGTATCTGCCCTCACGCCCGCTCGCTGCCCGATCCTTGCCGCTTTTGATCCTGCCGCCATCTGCGAGACATGTGCTACCTTTTTTTATGCAGGGAGGAGGGTTGGGCCCCGCCTTGCGTCGTTGGGGCAGCGGGTTCAACCAACCCTCTGCCCGGCCCTGCACCTCCGTTTGCGACACACCAGCAAGCAAGTGCGACGATGCTTACGTAAGCTGTCCTCTCCAGGGATGAAGGGAAGGCATGCCATTTCAAAGTGTAGCTGATGTGTGGATGATGGCCTGCCTGGGTCACTCGCGGGCACACGCACTTGCGTATCGCAGGCAGCCCTGCTTGCATCTTACGGCCAGCCCCGCTCCCTCCGCTGCCAAGCATTGTGGCACACATGGCTTTCGTTTAATGATGGGCACAGGCATGGTAGCCTCGTAAGAGATACGGCAGCATGAAAAAGTGCACATCTGGTGGCAGCACAAGCTAAGATCCGAGGCAGCAGCAGGAAAAAGTGCAACTCAGGTATGGCTTGCCTGTTGGTGACAAGCAGCTACAGAGAAGCAGCTGGCGCCAACAGACAGCGAAAGACATTGCATAAGCAAATTGCCACTGAATACTGGACGCACAGCTTTGTTTGGTTTGAAAATGGGTGCAGCCACAAGAGAACTGCGGGGGTGGGCACATTGAGAACTGCAGCATGTGTAGCTTGCCGTTGGGCTTGCCGGCTGTCGGCTGCGGGTGCGTGCGTGTGCGGCGAGCGTTTTACTGCGCCGCCGGTGCATCAGGATTGAAGGGGTGGCATCAAGAAGGGCGTGAAGGCACGAGCAAAAGGTGCCACGCCTACTTCGTTGCAGTGCTGCTTGTGCAGACAGCGCGCGAAGGGCGCGCCATTGTCATTGCTACAATCGATGAACAAAACCGCCAGCACCCAGGCGGCCAAAAAAACCATGCGCGACGTGGCGCGCAAGCAAAAGCGCCACCTCACCAGCGGTGGCGTCCCGCAGCAGCGACAGCGGGCTACGAATCCCAAGGTGCGGCCTCACGCGCGGCCACGTGTGTGCCCTCGCCGGCCCGCTCCCCCTCCGCCCACGAACCAGCCCCCGCCGCGGAGCGGGCGGCCG